TTTTTAGAGATAAAGGTGACAACGAAAGACCAGAAATAGTTATAGGGGACAGTAGCCAATCAAACACCAGTCCAGAGGTGACTGCACAGGGCTCTGTATGCTGACACCGGATCGATAAATCGATTGACTGAATTCTGATCGGAGACATGGGCTTCAATCCATTCCCTTCGTGTCTTGCTTCTGGTGTGGACAATTACCCTCGTGGCTGCGAAGTTAAACTCGTGATCCGTTTTGTAGGTGACAGCAGTCACTTGTGGTAGTCCACTTTTCGTCGGTGTTGTTGATGATAGATAACTTCCAGACGTGCATTACTCCAGGGTGAGAGACAGGAAACCTAAGTTTTGAACTGGACTAGAAATTCGCCCTGCGGCGCATTCTTGCTGCAATCGGTCGACGACCATCTGTTTTGTCGAATTCATCTGGCATGGGTCCCTGTAGCGGGCAAAGGGGGAGGCAGCATATCGGCAAAAATAAACGCATTGATCATCACTCTTCAACTGCGCGAGTTGTTTTCCACAACAACTCCTGTCGTTCTGTCTCGCGTTCGATAAATGTATGCTTAATCAAACCATTTAATCTTGACGGTGTTGAATTCGTCGGGTGGCTGACCTCGACCACAATCGATTTCGTACTGGTAACCTTAATATTTGATAAACTACAGGTTGTGGTGTCGCATCTGTACAAGGTTGTTAATTCGATTGATAGGAAAACCAAAGCGATTTTGGGCTATGTCGGAGAAGGTCTCTTTGACAGTGAGCTTGATAAAATGTGATACTTCAAATACTTTCGAGTAAGACTACCGCCGAATAAGCAGAATAGGGATGTCATTATTTTGCAAATCGATACCGCTCTCAAGTAAGGCGACATGATACCTCCATTGTTACAGGGATTCGCGTATATAGAGAATCCGTCTGGGCAGTCATTCCCGACGGCTGGGAATACTTGACTGTGTGTAGGTGAAAAGGGAGCGAAAACGGTAGCTGTTTGGCTAAAGCTGCCGCACTGATTCAGCGTCGGAAAGGAGGTCAAGACATGGAGGTTGTATTTGGGCGTCCAACATCTGGTTTCCATAGCTGGAAAGGAAATTTATGGAGCTCTCGAGAGTCGATGCCGTAGATTGTAGCGCTTGGAGATGTGTGGTTCACGAAATCATTGATGTCAGTTCTGCTAGGCATGAATAAAGCCATGCCAAGTACGATTATGTTATTGCTTGATTGTTTATTGCTAGCCATCATGTGATCGTCTGTGTGAACACTTGATCCTGAAACGCGAATGCCCATATTTGTCAAGGAAGAAGCATAGCTGTGCAAACGCGATCCCGAGGCTGATAGGGGCGTTCGACTGAAACGCCTAAAGACCAACTATGCTGTTGTCTGCAGTTGGAATATCACTGGCTTATCAAGACCAGCAAGTCAAAAATGACCGTTCCGGCGTCACGACGTTCTCTGTCGCACAGAACAGAAGGGAAGTGGGTTTCTGTTCGTAGGACTTGGGTTGGTGTTTAAGAACAGCAATATTCAAGTAGGCACGAATATTTGCGTGCAGTGGATATCTGCTCGAAGAGGCCATCTTACGCTTGTAAATACCATACTGCGTGGAATGCGAGAAGTCCTCCTTTATTCTAAATTGTCTGAAAAAGACACTTCCAATAACATGTACTGCCTTCATCTTGAATGACCGCCCACACTCACCACAAGGCTATCTCAGACTACCTAATAAGGACCATGGAAATGGTATGGACACATTCTTCACTGTCAATCCTATACTTTTAGTGTTTGACGAGGTCTGGAAAAAGATGAGGGTGGTTCTCGGACTTCCCGTGCTCGTTTTTTTTTCAACGGGAGAGTTACATTCGCAAGATCTGTGTGAAAAGGCATACTGAAGTTGGTTTGCTTAGGCATAACTACAGCACGACTCCCTTCAGCTGCGTGCTTTCACCAGTATTCGATCGGTATCACTTATGAACTAAGGACTTTTTCCCACGGTAACTAGTAAAGTGTCTATCTCCATTTTCAGACAGAAGAACCACCGCTCTGCCACTGTCAACCATAAGACACAAAATAATATGCAAATAATAACCCTTCATGTAGTATTGCGGCAGTTAGTCGGATCCAAACGTTAAAGTGGCCATCGGCCTACTGTGTCTTAATATGCCTTTACCCAATATATACAGTATTCATCGGGATAGATTCAAATATATTTAGACGTTTGGGTTTCGATGTAAGATATTTGGAACCTAGTTGGAGGTTTTAATGGTTGACAGATACTTCGATGTAACCACCCAGTCAAAGTACGGAGAGCCAATATTTAC